GGAGAAAATAAAACTCCATCTACTTTTCCAAGCCTAAAAGCCCAAGTTTATTGGGCCTTCGATCAAATCGGTCCAACAAATTGAGTCAACTTGATCCAGAAATAAAGAGTGCTTTTTAAAAAAAAACTATCAAATGGCTGAACAAAGATAACTTGTTTGTGTAAAATGTAAAAATATGACCTTTTTTTTTTTCGAACCTTAAAAATATGACTTTAAAAAATCAAAACGCAGTTATTTGAATTTTCTAACCCATCATCCCACCGATCGAATAGAGTCGACGTCAGAATTTAGTCCTATTTAATACCTAGCTACTTGCCTCCGATCTAATGACAGTTCACAAAACCAGAAATTCAGAATCATTTACGTTAACACTTTTTTATTGATGCGTATGCATGGAATAAACCCGTATTGGTACAACTAACGTATGAATAATAATTAACAACAATTTGCATACCTACCAAAATTTATGCGGATTTTTGTTCAAAAGTTAACTTCCACGGACCCACTGGTATTGCCTTGGTGTATTTGACAAATACGAGTGGGATTACGCGTATGAAACCGGTGGATATGCTAAAAGAAGGACCATTTTAGACCATTCAAGTTTTCTTAATCCAAACAAAATTCTTACTTTCCGTTATTACTCTTAAACTAGTTATATACAGTATACATTAATCTAACCACCTTAAAATTGGGTCCCAAATCTCACACACCTTTACTAGGATCACAAGTTGCATAACCTATTAATCTATGAGATATATATTTGCTTTGAGTTTCCTTGTTGGTTCCATGTTGCAAAGCATTAATGAAAAGTGAGATACTCTTTTTGCCAACCATTTTAAAAATTTAAATACAAAAAAAAAAATTCAAATACATTGCATGGTATTCATTATTCAACTCTCTCTTTTCTATTTAGCTGCACATAGTGTTTAGCTCCTTTGGTAGCCAATATAAAACTAAAAGTCAATAGACGTTAATGCAAACCAAAAAAAAAAGGAATTAGAAAACCGTCTTTTTTGACTTTCGAGTGTCGACAATCTAATACTTAGACGGTAATATGTTACCTTCTTGACTTATTAATGACATACTAATTTTTTGCTAGAGGAAAAAATAAGCTTTTGTTTTTTTTTTATTTTTGCCCACAAAAATGAGCAAATCAGGAGAGGGAAAATGGCGTGATGATAATGTGTAAATGGTCGTCCATGTGCTCTTGAATTAATTAAAATGGAATCGTTTGACAAATTTCAGAAGCTTCTATATGCTGTCAGTTAAATGAAGTTCTGATTTGGTATTTTTTATGATTTATTGTGAATGACTAATTGCAATGCATGGCAGTGGACCGTCATGATTCTTAGGATAATTATAAAAAAAAAGAAAAATACAATTAGTTGAAATTTTCATAAATGTCTAAGAGAATAGAA